CCTGATTTTTTGATTTATTGAAGAGATGAGGTCTCACTGCCCAAGCGGGTCTCGAACCCGCGGGCTCAGGCAATCCACTCACCTCAGCCTCCCAAAGGCGTGGGATTACAGGCTGAGCCACCGAGCCCGGCTTGTGATGTCATTCTTATAGTTATTTTTGGTTTCTCATGTTTGCGTTGTTTGAATGGGGCATCTTTCTGCAGCACACGGACCCTGACTACTCAGCTGCCTATGTCATCATAGAGACTGATGCGGAAGATGGACTCAAGGGATGTGGACTTACCTTCACTCTGGGAAAAGGCACTGAAGTTGGTGAGTTGAAGATTCTCGTAAGGTTCCAGAATGCTTTATTTTTATTTAGATTCCCGTTCTGACCTTATTTTTCTCTGTACTTACAATGCTCAAAGTGAGTAAAAACAATGTTTCATGTTTATTTAATAAGCTGGGAAAAATTAAAAAGTGGCAGAATTTGGCCTCTCTCCTTGTGTTCATCTATAAACTGCTAGAAAATTCTTGGATCTCAGTCCATTGCTCTGTGTTAAATGATAGCTGCAAGAGTATTATTCACCTGCTTTTAACCCATGGCCACTGTAGAGCGTGGGCAACCTGAAATAGGCAAGTATCTAAGGACGATGAGAGAAAGTAGATATGAACTTTTTTGTCATGTGCACAGTGGGTCTACTTGCTTTTCAAAATATGTCACACCAAACTGGTTTCACGTTTACTTATTTTCATGGCAGAAAAGGTCTTTGTCCCTGCCCAATCTCAGAGGTCTTGTCTTTGAAGAAGAGCATATTCTTCAGGATATACACTCAGGAAACTGAGGTCCACACAGCTACTCAGTACATCATGGCAGAACTTCCTGACTGCCCAAAACACTTCTCTCCAGGACTTTTTTTTTTTTTTTTTGAGTTGGAGTCTCACTCTGTTGTCCAGGCTAGAGTGCAGTGGCATGCATGCTCAGTGGCATGCCTTGATCTGCTGGGCTCGAGCGATCCTTCTGCCTCAGCCTTCCAAATCACTGGAACTACAAGCACACGCCACCATGCCTGGCTCTTTTTCTGGTTTATTGTAGAGATAAGGTCTCATTGAATTGCCCAGGCTGGTCTCAAACCGCTAGACTCTGATAATCCTCTTGCCTCTGCCTCCCAAAGTGCTGGGATTATAGGTGTGAGCCACCGCATCTGGCCTCTCCGGGACTTTCAAAGGCACCTCTTTTTGAATATGTAATAGTTGCACACGTACAAAACTCAAAAAATACAAAAAAGTGACCTTTGCCAGATGAATTTTAATGGATCAATTGGGGCTGAAGTCAAATTATGATAGACTGAAGAGTAAGGGTCTGAGAAAGAGAGAAACAGACTCTAACTTTAGTGGTGACATGATAGCTGAACCATGGATATTTGCACCATCAGCTCTCTCGCTAGTTGTAGATTAAAAGTCTTGCCCCACTAAGAGACTTTAATGCTGTCAAGCAGATAAAAGAAGTGTATGTACGTGTGTGTATGTGTGTGTGTGAATGACAAGGGAACCTTTCTTGAACTTTCAATGAATCCCACCAAGGGGCCCGCTGTTCCGGTTCTTCACAGGGCTGGCCATCAGCCATCCAGCAAGTCTGTCCCTCTATAGACTTCTCTCGAGTGCTGCTGTGTCTCAAGCGCCCTGCCAGGCACTGGAGAAGTAATTTTAAAAATAGAGAGAGATAAAAAAGACAGAATTCCACATACAAGGAACACATAAACTTAATGGGAAAACAGACAAAAAAGAAATGATTATAGAGCAGTATGAGAATTACTATTTTTTAAAAAAAGTATGGACAAGTTACTACGTGCAGGAAGCTTAGGGAAGGCTTCAGAGCAGAAAAAATGCTTTGAGATGAGTCTCAAAGAGTAAATAAGAGCTTGCCAGGCCGAGGGAAGAGGCCAGGCACTAATTTGGTACCCTTCCACCCAGTAAGTCAACAATTTACTGTTAAAATGTTCCCCAATGTAGTAACCGCAGACCGCAGTAGAGTTGTGAGCTGTGTGTTTCTGCTTCTTCTGCAACTTTAATTGTCCCTTGTTTATAAGTTGAGTAATTTATGAAGCTGCTATCTTTCTCCATTTTGCAGCCCTTACAACCTGGTCCCCAACAGTTGTATAAAACAGACCATGAGTCACTCTCTGTTAACAGCCAAGACTTCGAACTTTGCTGACTTGGGTGCAAATGGGGGGCCCTGAGCACTAAGACAGATAAGAAGCAACTCTCATATGGTTACTGAATTCAGAATTTAGGGCTTTTGCTGACCCTCCCTCCTCTCCTCCATTCCCATTCCCAGCCTCACCCTGTCCTGATGAACGGCTCAGGCCGGGGTAAATCAATTTCCATCTCCTCATGACTTTAATATATGGCTCTTTTGTGCTAATGTTGTTGGCTTCTGCCTTTTTGAGACCACAGCATGACAGAACCCCATTTTAACTTTAACCTTGCTACATCTTTGAGGCGATTCACTGCAGTCTCACTCAATGCGTTAAACGGCACCTGCATTAAAGATGAAAAATTCCATGAGCTCATCTTAGTACTGTGGCCTTTATCAGCTTACTTACCTCATCATTCTTTTATGATCCAAAAAACAAAACAAACAAACAAACAAAAACAGTGCTTTCCTTATACTGTGAAAAGTGCTTGTGTATGTGACGGAGATAGGGAGGGAAGGTTGATTTTTAAATGTATAGAATAGGCCAATATCGTTTTTGTTGGGTATTTTTTTCCAACTCATGTCTTTTATTAAATTAATTTAATTAATATTCATTTTTTTCCTTCTTTCTTAATGGTTATTTTTAAGTCTTCATTTTTTAGAGTGATTGTAGATTCACAGCAAAATTATAGAAACTATAGAGTTCCTCTGTCCCCACACACATACAGCCTTTCCCCATCATCAGCATCCCCTACAGAGTGGTCCATTTGTTACAAATGATGAACCTTCATTGATACTTCATAGTCCATAGTTTACAGTAGGGGTCACTCTTGGTGTTATACATCCTATAGGTTGGCACACATGTCCAAAATGATATGTACAGTGCAGACTAAGTTAGTTTTAAAAAAATAGGAAAAGGAAAAGACAGAAAGGTGGAAAAGGAAGAACTTTTAAATAGATTTTAAAAACAGCCTTAAGGGTTCTCCACTAGGGCTCTGTCACCCCTGGGCCTTCCACAGGCTTTACATAATGTCCTTCCAGTGCTGAAGGATGCCAGGGAATTGAGATCCATGGGCAGATAGAGTCACAGGAGAAAGCCCTTGAATTTAGTCGCAAGAAGCTGTCTTCAAGGGACACTTTTTTCCAGATAAATTTCCCACCACAACCCAAATTTCTATTGACTGCAGCACATTTTTAACTTCCTGCAGTGGCCGCTTGTTGAACAAGGACAATACACATACTGTAGATGAAATATTAGTGTTGCTTATGCATGTCTTCAAGTCATAAAAGATGAGATCATCTTGAGCTTTGTTAAATGCATTTGCTGTTGTGATGCAAACCAGAAGTGGGCTTCAGTCAGTGATTTATAGCAACAATCAAATCCATGAGATGGATTCGATGTAAGAATAATGCACCTCACAGTAAAGTTGCTGCCTTACTCCCCAGGTTTTCTTTAATTCAAGAGCATCAACCACTGAACAGTGAGGAAAGGTTCTGTCTTCTCCAGTTCTCGGGAATGTATATCTGAACTGGAATGATTGTGAATCCCATTAACAAAAGCCCTAGAGAACCCGAAATGGCTGGTTCAACCCTAAATGCCACATCCAACAGCAAATGCGCAGTGAACTGAGAGTGTTTCACACAGAGGCAAGGATGTCCTAAGAGCACGTGGTACTATTTTCCAAACGTCGTTCTCATAGGATCAGATTGGCAATAAAGCTGTGTCTCTACAACTATCCTATTAAATGACCTAACAGCTTTACTACTGAAGCAATAGCGATACCAAACAAGCATATTGGAATGGTTTGTAATAAATTACTTACTTTGGAGCTAAGTCGATGACTTGATTTGATTAGTTTGGTCATTTACACAGAAACTAAATATTTTCTAGAATATATTTTTTATCTAAGTTGTGGCTTTACTTATCCTTCATCTGAAATAGCACAATAACTCCTTTTAAAGTAAAGCAGCAAAAATAAATAATTGATGGTAATGCCGATCCACACTAAGTCTAACCTTCAAACTGCCTATGAAAAATGTAGTAATATTGTAAGAAACTCAATAGTAAGAAGTTTAAAGTTTGTGAAAATAGTGTTTTCATGTGCTTTAACATTTTACATATAAGTGTTATGCTAACTGAAGATTTATTTTATTTAATCTTTAATAGTGTGTTATGTTGTGAATTCAAGATGTCTTCCATACTTATCAATAATGGAAAGACATTTCTTTTTTTAAAAATTATATAAGTCAGGGTCTTCTTATTCCTTAGGAATAATGGACTAACATGACTGGGTTTTGAATATGATTGTCCAAATACTTTACAAAGTGAGTAGGAAAATAACTTGGGAACCATATTTAAACTTGGAGAGCTTTGGTTCTGCCAATTAAAATATATTTGCCCGGCTGGCCTTGGTGGCTCAAGCCTGTCATCCCAGCACTTTGGGAGGCCGAGGCAAGTGGATTGCCTGAGCCCGCAGGTTCGAGAGCAGTTCGGGCAACTTGGCTAGATCTCGTCTCTACAATTAAAAAAAAAATTTATATGTGTATATATATGTGTGTGTGTGTGTGTGCGCGCGCGCGCGCTATTTGTTATTACAACCACAGGAGACATATTTGGGGTGATTTTTAAAAGCATGTATCTTTTCTATTTAGGTTTTTAAAATAACATGTTCACATTCATTTGTGGTGTTTTCATGTCTAGATTTATTGGCTTCATATTAAAACAAACAAGAATTAAACCCTTTTTAAATAGTTGTCTGTGCTGTGACTGCCCTCACCCACCATGTGATCAACAAGGACCTCAGGGACATTGTCAGTGACTTCAGAGGCTTCTACCGGCGGCTCACAAGTGATGGGCAGCTCAGATGGGTAAGGGACCTATTTTGTATAATTCTTTTATAAGTAATGTAATAAGGTCTGAGATGTCCTTTGATTATAACAAATGTGAAAATAGAGGTAGGTTTACAGTGTCAGAGTAAAGCATTTTTATTCAGATTGTGAGAAATGAACTCACCCATCCAAAATCGAAGGATGGACACAGAGACATGGAGTGCAGCAGAAGCCAGACTTTAATGATGGTCTTGCAAGATTGGGTGAGCAGGCACACCGGAACTATTACAGTTAGTTACTTGTAACCTAGAATGCAAGTCCCTCCCCTGTTCTCCCATAGGCTGGGCTTTCCAGAGGTCACAATGCTTTCCTGGCCATTGCCTACATGGCACACATTGATTGGGTCATGTAATTAGTTCATTGGCATGTCCTATTTGTTGATTGGTTTAGAGTTGCTGCAAAATCCCTTCATTTACATGTCCTATTTGCTGATTGGTTTATAGGATTTCATTCTGATTGGTTCCCTCCAAAATTTGAACATAAAAGCCTGCCAAAGAGAGCATAAAAGCCCTCCAAGCCTATGAAAAAGAGAACAAAGAAGTAGGAAGTGACTCAGCAAAAGGCATTTAAACATGGTTCAGGGTTCCTTTTGAAAATAAATCATTCTATTTCTTACAGGATGAATTAGGGCTTGAGCCATTTAGATCATCAGTATCTTGAGGTAATCAGGTCCTTTCTGTAAGACTTGAATCTGATATATTTGAATCCCGAGAGCTACTATTGCTCTTAAGGACCTCATCTCCCAGTTCCTGAAATGGAAAAGTGGTCCAGAGGATAAAGTACTGAATAGGCAACCTTTTGTGTTTTGAGAGATAATATGAGTAGTAATAGAGATGTGGGAGGAGGTTACTAAGGAGAGAAACATAAGAGAAGAGCAAAGTTAAAAAAGATATACCTGTTGTGTGTATATATAAGTATTTGAACCAGAAGTTCAAGGCATGAAAAGTGAGGTTTTAGAGAAAGGATTCTAACACGTAAGCTAAATCTAATAACCTGAACTTTGCCTTTGTCTCGTGATACCAGATTTATCTTTTCCCAACTCTGCTTAGTCTCCCATCTATCCACAAAGAAGGGTACAAGACTATGTACTTTCCATATTACCTGCAGAAAGTTGGACTTTCTGCAAAGCCAGTTAAACTTCCCTTGAAAGGTGTCACCTTGAAGAAGTCCTCACTGGCTGAATCTGGGACAATTCATGCATCAAAATAAATATGGTAGTAATGACTTATAACCCATTGAATGAAATAAGAATCCACAAGTCCTTTCAGATAATAAGTGAACAATAAGGAAATCTCATAACATTACTGTGGAACACAAACTAATAAGAAGAATAATAACATTATAGAATCACCGTGTTACCACCATCATTCCTATCATGCCTATTATTAATGGAGGCAATAGTCATCAATGGATGCTAAAATTTTGAGGCAACAGAACCTTCTTACTTTAAAAAGGAAATGGTAACTTCTCAGTGGAGAAACCAAATGGACACTAACTTACTCAAGTGGTAAACGTTAATAACACTAAAACAGAACAATATGACATCATCACTTATGTAGCACTTATTCTAAGAAATGTATAGCATGAATCTAATCATGAAGGAACTCCAGACAAACCCAAATTGAGGGATGCTGTACATTCAACTGGCCTATTCTCTTTAAAAATGTCAATAACATTTTTAAAAGAAGCAAAATTGTTTCAGGTGAAAACACAACTAAGTGCAATATGTGATCCTGGATTGAATACAGATTAGGGCAAAATAAAGTGCATTATTAGGAAAATTGGTGACATTTGGTCATGGACTGTCTTTTGGATAACAGTATTTTATCAACAGTATTCTATTCCCTGAATGTGATCATCATACTTTGGTTATATAAGGGAATGTCCTTGATCTTAGGAACTACACAATAAAGTATTTTGGGTTAAAAGATCATGATAGCTGCAACTTTGCCCCCAACTGTTTCCAAAAAGTGTGTGTGTGTGTGTATAAAGAGAGACAAGAAAAGACAGAAATGTTTTCTACAATTCTTGCAACTCTCCTCTAGGTTAGAATTTTTGTTTGTTTGCTTGCTTTTTGTTTTTGTTTTTTTTTAACTTAACTTTAAGTGAGTTTCCTTTGCTGCCTGTTAATCCTTGAAACATGTCCCTGGCTAGAAGATCTAAGTATCCTTTTTCATTCCTAAGAAGTGCTGTTGTGATTTGCTTCCCAACCAGATTGGTCCAGAGAAAGGTGTGGTGCATCTGGCGACAGCGGCCATTCTGAATGCCGTGTGGGACTTGTGGGCCAAGCAGGAGGGAAAGGTAACTCTCACAAACACTTCTGAGGCGCCAAGGAACAGCATGACAGTTACTTTATCTACAATCAGCTGTCTAAAGATGAAAGACAGACACACTGCAGGCTTTCTAGAGGAAATAAACAGAATGGCTTTGATTTTTTTTTCTCCCCTGAGAGACATTGGCAGTAGTTAGAAAACTGTAAGAGTAAGTGCAAGAGGGGAAGGGGCAATAGAAGGCACAGGCAACATTAGAGCTAGGATAGGTACGGGACCAGATATGTCTGATAGCCAAAGTTTGTTACAGTCAGGAAAAACATGGGTACTTTATACATATGTTTTACAAATCTTTTATTTTTTTCTTCAAGCCACTCTGGAAGTTACTTGTGGACATGGTAAGTAGAAACTTTTTTTTTTAGTTGGGGTCCCATTCTGTCATCCAGGCTGGAGTGCAGTAGCACAATCATGGCTCACTGAAGCCTCTACTTCCTGGACTCAGGGGGCTCTCCCGCCTCAGCCTTCCAAGTAGCTGGATCTACAGGCATGTGCCCCCACGCCTGGCTAATTTTTTGCAGTGATAAGATCTTGCTATGTTGTCTAGTCTTGGGTTGAACGGAGGGCTTAAGCATTCCTTCCACCTTGGCCTCCCAGAGTGCTGGGATTGCAGGCGTGAGCCATCTTGCCCAGCCTAGAATCTTTAATCTTGCTATTGTTTCTGTAAATGAAGTGGATTTCATGGATGACTTGCCTTTTGATTATCAGTAAATATATTCAGGACTATCTATTGATTACTCCAGTGATGATAAGTTTAAAAAAACAGTAAAATATAGCATTCGTGTTTCTAACATGTGACCTATCAGATGGCTGTACTCATGCAGACAGAATGGCTACAACAGGAAGCCGTGAGTTTGGGGTCTGCCCTCCCCACTGTGGATCTGTTACATGTGATGCCAATTCTCTCAGCCTCCATGGCCTGACTATGAAAAAAGGATCATCACAGAATTAAAGACCAAATGAAGAAACCGTTTCATAAACTCTGAAGAACGAGATGTTACTGTTAAGATACTGGTCACTTTGGCCCCCAAAGCACGATCAGACCATTGCAGTCTCCGCTGTACAGTTTCAGCAGGAATGGAGCTTAACACTCAGTTCTGAAGATGTGCACTTGGCAGTTTTCTTTCTTCTTGTCCTATTTATAGCAGGGATGAGCACCTGGCTGCTGAGGAGGAAACAACTCTGTGCAAGTTAAAGAGGAGTGAGCAAGGTTGGCCTTGAACCCAGGCTTCACTGCTGAATAACCTTGAGTATGTTACTTTTTGACTTGGAGCTGTATCTGCCTCAGTGTAATGCCTTGGTGGTCACTAAAATTCTGGTAGTCCACAGATGAAGGCCCTTATTTGACTCAAAATTAAGGAAAAACAAAGAACACCATGGCCTTGAAGACTGTTGGACCCGTAGACGTTGCTCCTCCTCTGGAAAAAGGTGAAGACAGTAGGCTGTCACTTCATCTCTCTGACATGGCTGAGAGTTACATCAGCCATCTGAAGGAGAAGGATATGGACCTCTTGAACCATCTTCCAGGCTCAAGATCAGTCTTTCAGAGGGGTGTGAGAGGTGGCCACCAGATTTGAGGGTCACCCGAAAGGTACCTGAGATCCCACCTGTGAACTATCCATTTTTTGGATTCTGTTCCCTTTTTCAGTGCCAGTACTCTTAAAAGAAGAATGTCATGAGTGAAAGAGCTTTCAAGATTTTTGACAGTTATAGTAGAGTATTATGGGTCACTATAAGACATTAGTGGGAATGGAGCTGCTGACTGTTTTCCAACTGACTGATTGGAGTAGGGAGAGGTCTCAGCACAAGGCCCAGCCAGGATGTTGGCTGGTGGGAAGCCAGGTAAACCAGCACACTTCTGGTTCACTCACTCTATTCCTATTAGTGAAATGATTTATCCTCATTTGACAGGAGAGGAATTTGCCAAGGGTCATGCTGTAGTGAGGGGTGGCCTGGCGCTGAGAACAGCCTTCTTTCACCTGGATCAAAGCTGCTCTAGTACCACCTGCTGGCCCTCATAGTTCACTGTGGATGGCCCTGTAGTGTGGAGCAAATGTATAGAGTGACACCAGGCATTCACCTCCTCATTTAACTCCTACTCAGTGTTGGCTTCTTGCCAGGTTCTCCTTCCAGGAAGCCATGTTAGTTTGAGAGACTGGAGGGTCTGAGGACTTTATCAGAGGCAGTGATGAGTCCCTCTGAAAAATCCTATACTGAGGAATGACAGAATCAAACAATTTAACACAAGTCCCAAAGGTCATCTTCTGGAAGGAATGTGCCGATGTATTCATGTAAACCCAACTGTGAATTGATTTGGGCCTTTTCCCTCCTGTCATGCTGCCAGGATCCCAGGACACTGGTATCCTGCATAGATTTCCGGTACATCACCGATGTCCTGACTGAGGAGGATGCCTATGGTGAGTTGCATTTAAGTGATAGAACTGGAAGCTTTCTGGTATATACTGTTGGACACACACAGTAGTGACATGCTTTGTTACCTAAAAGAGTGATTTTTTTAATGTCTTCCAGAAATACTGCAGAAAGGTCAAGTTGGTAAAAAAGAAAGAGGTGGGTTGTGAGAAAATTTTCTTCATTGTTTTTGCTAACATTGTCCAGCTTTGAATGCTGCCATCCTTTGGGGGTATACACTGTCCTCCCAAATGCCCTATGCTGAGCAACTAGACCTTGACAGACATCAGGTCTACATGATGAAACTTCCTGGGTATGACCTTGGACTGCAGAGTTAGCTTCAGCCACTGCTAAAAGGGAGTTTGGCTTTAGGGTAACACTGTAGGATATGGAAGCGTCCTTGGGGAGTGGGGCAGTTCAAAAGGGTATCCTGATGACCTGGGTTTGACATCCTCTATGATTTATGGCTAGTTGCATGTGAGGAGCAGAATCGGGAGAACACCTGGATTCTGCAGGGGCAACAGCTTAGGTACAGGCAGGTCTAATTCAAGGATCCTTGGAAAGTGCAAAATGTTGATGAGTGGTGTGTTTCCACAGAAGAGCAAATGCAGACACATGGCTATCCTGCCTACACAACATCGTGTGCCTGGCTGGGGTACTCAGATGACATGTTGAAGCAGGTGGGTCTTTCAACTTGGTTTTGTAGACAGGCTGAGTGGGGAAAAAACAAACTGTTTTCCCTTCTATGCTCACTACTGCTCTTAATACTTCACTTCTGACACCAGATGTATATATATTGTTCCATGCCAAATAATTCTCCAATTTTTATGGACACCAACTAGGGATCCTACTATTTTCCTCCATTTTGACACTATCTGCCTGGAGGTAGCATCAGACCCCACAGGTTAAGGGCTCAGTCCCACAATGGGCAACAGAGTAAGACTCCAACTCAAAAAATAAAAAATAAAAATAAAAAGAGACATATTCTCAAGCCTGTAATCCCAGCACTTCAGGAGGACGAGGTGAAAGGACTGCCTGAGTCCAGGCATTCAAGGCCAGCCTGGGCAACTTTGGGCAACAGAGTAAGACTCCAACTCAAAAAATAAAAAATAAAAATAAAAAGAGACATATTCTCAAGCCTGTAATCCCAGCACTTCAGGAGGACGAGGTGAAAGGACTGCCTGAGTCCAGGCATTCAAGGCCAGCCTGGGCAACTTTGGGCAACAGAGTAAGACTCCAACTCAAAAAATAAAAAATAAAAATAAAAAGAGACATATTCTCAAGCCTGTAATCCCAGCACTTCAGGAGGACGAGGTGAAAGGACTGCCTGAGTCCAGGCATTCAAGGCCAGCCTGGGCAACTTTGGGCAACAGAGTAAGACTCCAACTCAAAAAATAAAAAATAAAAATAAAAAGAGACATATTCTCAAGCCTGTAATCCCAGCACTTCAGGAGGACGAGGTGAAAGGACTGCCTGAGTCCAGGCATTCAAGGCCAGCCTGGGCAACTTTGGGCAACAGAGTAAGACTCCAACTCAAAAAATAAAAAATAAAAATAAAAAGAGACATATTCTCAAGCCTGTAATCCCAGCACTTCAGGAGGACGAGGTGAAAGGACTGCCTGAGTCCAGGCATTCAAGGCCAGCCTGGGCAACTTTGGGCAACAGAGTAAGACTCCAACTCAAAAAATAAAAAATAAAAATAAAAAGAGACATATTCTCAAGCCTGTAATCCCAGCACTTCAGGAGGACGAGGTGAAAGGACTGCCTGAGTCCAGGCATTCAAGGCCAGCCTGGGCAACTTTGGGCAACAGAGTAAGACTCCAACTCAAAAAATAAAAAATAAAAATAAAAAGAGACATATTCTCAAGCCTGTAATCCCAGCACTTCAGGAGGACGAGGTGAAAGGACTGCCTGAGTCCAGGCATTCAAGGCCAGCCTGGGCAACTTTGGGCAACAGAGTAAGACTCCAACTCAAAAAATAAAAAATAAAAATAAAAAGAGACATATTCTCAAGCCTGTAATCCCAGCACTTCAGGAGGACGAGGTGAAAGGACTGCCTGAGTCCAGGCATTCAAGGCCAGCCTGGGCAACTTTGGGCAACAGAGTAAGACTCCAACTCAAAAAATAAAAAATAAAAATAAAAAGAGACATATTCTCAAGCCTGTAATCCCAGCACTTCAGGAGGACGAGGTGAAAGGACTGCCTGAGTCCAGGCATTCAAGGCCAGCCTGGGCAACTTGCTGAGACCTCATTTCTACAATTAAAAAAAAATTAGCCGGGCGTGGTGGCACACACCTGTAGTTTCAGCTACTTGGAAGGCTAAGACCGAAGGATCGCCTGAGTCCAGCAGGTTGAGGCTGCAGTTGCCATGAGCATGCCACTGCACTCCAACCTGGGTGACAGAGTGAAACTCCAACTCCAATAAAATAAAATAAAATAAAAAGAAGAATATTAATGCTATATTCCCCTTCCAGAAATATCGTGACAGTTAAGGAAATGGTTCCCATAGAGATGAGGAAAGAAAGTCACCCTACAAGTAGAAAGAGTTATGCTCTGTTGGTCAAGCTGTTTCTGCTCTTAATTTCAACAACACGTGGCTGTTGTTTTGGTTTATGCTATAGCCAAACTCTCTTGAAATCCAGATCAGAAATGATTGGCATGTTCATCAGACCAAAGGGTGCTTTCCAGTATGTGATGCAGGGTATGTTCCTTTCCCCACAGCTCTGCACAGAAGCACTGAAGGATGGCTGGACCAGGTAAGTAATTTGTAATGATGGACTTGACTGTCCCAGTTAGCAGCCTAAGAGAGTCAGTGGAGAGAGCCAAGGAGTAAAATGTGCCAACAGGCCAGAATCAGTCTGACACGTAGGGACGCTACGTGTTTCCACCTAGGCCAAGCTCTTTCTCTGAAGACAAGGTGTGAGTCCTAATTAGAATTCTAGAACATCTGAATTGAAAGAACTTCGAGATTGTGGATTTCAAGCACAATCTAGAGTAGAAACTACTCCTTGATGTCAGTAACAAGCATGAACTCAGCTTCTGCGTGAATATCTCCAGAGCCATGATGTTACGCTTGTGAGACACTTTCCATTTTTCAAGGGCTCAAAGTGTTAGGTCTGCAATGTCAGGAACCCTTTGCTCCCATAGAACTTCCAGCTGCCAGTCTCAGTTCTTCTCCATGGGATGACCAAGAGCCAGACTGCTCCCCTTCAGTTGAGTGACAGCCCTTCCCTCCCCACAGGCCTCTTCCTTTCTAGACTGTCCACCTGCACTTCTCCCCTCTATCTCTCACATGTGTGGTTAAAGACCGTGGGATATCCCAAGATCTTCCCTGGATGAGCCATGATTGTCAGTGACCCTGATTTCTGACTCAGTGTGAGTTCCTCGATGCAATTCAAGGTGGCACTTTTTGCCAGTGATATTTTACCGGACCTCCTACCTATATTGCAACCAGTCTGGTTCCCGAGGCTCCTGGTACTCAGTGTATGACCTGTGGAGCTGGATTGTCAGCATCACCTGGGAGCTTGTCAGAAATGCAGTCTCAGGCCTCTCCCCAGACCTGCTGCATAGGAATCTGCATTTTAACAAGGCCGATTCATATACATATGCTCAAGTTTGAGAGGCACTGAATTCTTGTTAACACCTCAGCTAAATAAAGGGTTGAGGAGTGAGAACTTGGAGGAGGGATGAAGTGGAAAGAGGCTTTGGTATCCGACAGAATAAAATCTTACCTTAATCCCTCACCCCCTGCAAGTGCTCTCTGTGTGATCGTGGGCAAATTGCTCAACCTCTCTGAACCTCATTTTCTCTCTCTGTGAATAGAAATAATATTAACTCATGGTTCTCCTCAAAGTTGCCATATCTGGGAAGAACCAGCACAGGGCAGGATTCAGGCTGGAGCAGTTGTATCTGGTGATTCAGAGAAGGCTGCAGAGAGATGTCAAGGGTCTCCCAGTGCAAGAAACCTGGCATCCGGGGCCTATGGTCAGTCGCCCTCTTTGCCAAGGAGAGAGAGGAACTCAGGCAATACCAGGCTCTGTCTGGAGCAACAGCCAATGCTACTCTCAAGGGCAGATGCACAGGAGGATAGGCTGGTGCATGAGAAAGCGAATGCTGGCCTCCCCTTGATGGTGTCCCCTCTGTCACCTCCCAGTGCCCACACTCAGGCCAGCAACACAATCTCTGAGGACAGAGTCACAGGGTATGGATGTAGGGGCCCACGTCTCAAGAACAGCTGCACTCAAAACAGATTAAGGATCTCCTGCAAGTGGCCAGATGTAGTATAAAGAAGACCTCGGGGCTGGGCATGGTAACTCAAGTCTGTAATCCCAGCACTTTGGGAGACTGAGATAAGGGGATTGCCTGAGCCCACAGGTTTGAGACTAGCCTGGGCAATTTGGCAGGACCTCATCTCTACAATATTTTTTTAAAAATTAGCCCAGCATGGTAGCGTGCGCCTGTAGTTCCGGCTACTTGGAAGGCTGAGGCGGAAGGATCGCCGGA